GGAGAGGGAGGTCTGGGCCTCCCTTCTGAAGCTGCTGCCCCCGCGACCCGACCCCGGATAGGCAGAAGAAAATGGATGGATGGATGGATGTATGGATGGATGGATGGATGGATGGATGGATGGATGGATGGATGGATGGATGGATGGATGGATGGATGGATGGATGGATGGATGGATGGAGTAGGTCCTCTGGATGAGTTCTTTGTTGAAAACAGTTCTTTCAAGACCTTTTTTTAATTTAAGCTAAAGTGAAATTAAGTTTTTGTGTTAGCTTGGTTCCATTTCCTGATTGCAGCATTTAATAAGTTGTAGCTTCAGATTCAAATGAATAGAGACAAAAGAAGTCATTTGATTTTCTGTATTTTGTCCCTTTTGACATCTACTACGGCTTTATGTACTTGACAATAATATCAAATGGAATATATCAGAATATACTGTATCAATCTAGAGATTACAAGGGTTGTTGTAAAAATATATTTACATTTGTCYTTTTTTTTTGCTAACATAACTCATAGTTCTTCGTTTAGAACAATAACATCCCTAAATATTTTAAATTCCACCACAACGGTAATGAGATTACACTAAATATAGTTTTCTTCAGAATTATTTTCTATTTTTTCTATCATGAGCAAATGTGAGCCCTATTTGTTTTTAAAGAAAAACTTCATTATAAGTGTAAATTTACACTGTTAATCCCTAATGGGGAAATGAGTTCTAAGCATTTTTCCAATAACAGCTGGAGGGTTGATGGCCTTTTGAACTTCCTCARGGGCCCACAGTGGAGCAAATGAGCTCACCTTCTCTAACCTCTTTGCCACCACTCCCCAAATTATGCTAATAAACTAAGCAGAAATATGTTAATATTTTAAAGCATGAACATATTAATCATGTTTTTTAATGGTCCATAAGCACCCATAAAAATGACAGTTTTAAAATAATGCATCTATGTTTCAAACCAATCTGGTCTGACTGGTGGCCAAAGCAGAGCATTTAACTTGAAATAATGTAGAAAAAAATAATCAAAAAAGCTTCTCTTTTCATCTCTGCTTTTGGGTTTTAGTTTGGAATGAGCCTAAACTGTTTGTTGTCTGCCACCTCTGGGAAACATCTGTACCACATGACAAGGACATCCACTATGTTCCTTTCACTCACTTGTTTACTGCATTTTTCACATTCTGTGGTGTTCTAAAAAAGTATTTAGTTTAAATCTTACTGCTTTAAGTACAGTTATTCACGCAGCAGTAGCAGAGACATATTTTTACATCACTGTCAGCATATTTATCAGTTTTGTATTGAAGCTGCTCAGACTAAATCGAACAGGAGGTTACTAAATATGTCTATAAGAGAAAGTTTGAACATTTAATATGGGGTTCTATGGAAAAGTTATGAACAGCTAACATTTTATTCATAAATAGTTCTTTGAGAAATGGAGTTTGCCTAACATGGCTAATACTGTACAGACTGCTTCCATCTTCAAAAAAAAATATATAAAGACACTATAAACTTCACACCTCCATCAGTTTTGCATTATTAAACAACGAATTTGGTTATTTGCAAGTGCAAATAGCAGCAGCAGCTGGCCATAGCACCTCCAGTTCCTCCTACAGTTGTGGGAAATAAAGTTCATCCTGTTCCTGTTGGAATAACGGTGAAATCCTAAAGTTTCAGTCGTGTGAAGGTTTTTAGCCGTGAAGCATCGGGGATGTTGTTTTAAGATGGGAAAGTCACTTGGTTATGTTCATGCCGTCTTTCTTTCTTTGACATTGTAGTTGTGAACCAGGAGGGACAACCGCTGATCGAAGGAAAGCTGAAAGAGAAGCAGGTGCGATGGAAGTTCATTAAAAGATGGAAAACGCGTTACTTCACCTTGGCAGGAAACCAGCTGCTGTTTCGCAGGGGAAAATCTGTACGTAGGCGGTGAAATTCAAGCACAAACACACACACACACACACACACACACACACACACACACACACACACACACACACACACACACACAC